AGGGAAAGAAAATAAATATGCATAGATGATTAACTGTGAGGTTTACAATAGTTAAAAAATTGGGAATAATCCAAATATTTCTTATTGGGGGCTTGTATAGATACATTACAGTACATCCTGACAATGGAATACTATGCACCCATTAACATCAATGAGGTAAAACGGACAGAGAATGGTATTACAGTGTATTAGGTTTAAAAGGCAGATAATAAAGTAGTATATATGGTCTCATTTTCATTTAAAAAATATCTGTATAAAGGCACAGAAAAAAACTGGGAGGTACAGTTATGCAAAGGAATTGAAAGTAGTTATTTGGGGGCATTAAAAGTTTGGGTGATTTAAATTTATTTTCTATTTTCACATGACATGAGGAATGCTAGAATGTGTAACATGTACCCCTCAAAAAAGAGCAGTAAATGTCCAAGAGACAAAGCAGGGCCAGGTAGACCAGATGTCTACTTCAATACTGGCCAACCTTGGATGTACTGGTAACAAGGTGATACTCTGTGTTCCACCATGTTCCTGCTTTGGCAGTGACATGGCATGAAGTGGCAAGACAGACTCTACTCCCAGGATTCCTTGAATGCACTTGGAGACTTCCTCCTAGGGTGTCTGAACATCTTTTTAGTTTGGACTAAGAGCTAGCAGATATCCAGCAGCAGCAGGAGCCCCAGGCAGACGATGGCTGGGATGCAGGTGTTCAGTGATTCTTTCAGAGACACCAAAGTGAAGATAGCCCCTGGAATGGAAAATGAGGTCCCTGAGGCTCCCTGGGAATGCTCAGGAGATCCAGGAGCTCAGGGCCCTCCAGCCAAGGCTGACCCACTCCACCTTAAGCCCTCTCTTGAACACTGCCCCCCACCAACACACACACCCTAAACTAGCTGCACTCATCTCTCTGACCTCCCAGAGAAAGCAGAACCAGAAATCAGAAGTTTCTTGAACTAACGTAGACCCTCTCAGATGGCAAGAAACAGCAACAATCCAACCAAACAGGGCAAGGTGAGTAGGTGAGCGTTTTGGAACAGATTCTCTCTGATCCTCCTCCTTTCTCAATCCTAGTGGAGGGAAGAAGGCCCAGGGATTGGTGGCGGAGGTAGTGGGAAACATCTGAAAATGAAGGAAGCTGTGGAAATGCAAAGAAAGCCTGGAAGAAGGGTGGTAGTGGCAGCAGCAATGGTGACGCAAGGCCAGGGGATATAGAAGAGCCTGAAGATGTCTGGCCTTTGAAGCAGCAGCTGTCGTCTGCCACAGGGAAATCCTCTGCCTTTCTGGTCAGGGGGCCCGGCTACCTTGCTCTCTGTTTCCACCTGCCAGACACGAGTCCAGTGGCGGCTGCTACTCCATCCCCTCATCTCAGGGTAGGGGTAATGAGAAAGGGGTAGGGGCTTTTAGGTTACAATATATCCTTGTAATGGAAATACCATGCAGCCAATAGAATTGATGACATAGAAGGTATATCTGACATAGAAGAGTGTTATAGTATATTAAGTTTAAAAAGCACCTATCCTAGTCTGAAGACCATGGAAACTGCAATAGAGCAGGAAATGCTTCTGGTTCCAGAGGAAAAGAGTGGCAAAAGTAACGAGAACAGCCAGATTTTTTGCTATCACCCTCGCCTAGAAGTCCCCATTTCACCAGCCCAGTTGCACCCCCCTTACCCATCATGAGCAGTGTCAAAAGCAAGTTGCTGATCTCTTGCAGCATCGGTGGGCCCAGGACCAGCAGCAACCCAGCTAGCAGTTCCAGCCAGCCCACAGCCACTTGGTAGCTCATAGGATCTGGCTGGTAGCCGAACACCTTCAGCGGAAACACCTCAGCGAACTGCACGAACAGGGCTTTCTAGGGGTGGCAGGGAATGCCCATCAGCCATAGTCACCAAGGATCCACTGCCCAGATGCTCCACAGAGGCATTCTGTGCCAGTGCCCTCAACTCCCCCAGCAAAGGAGATACTACTCTAGGCCAGGTCCAGGGCTAAGGTCAGCCAGCCTGGAAAGGAGAGGGCCTCCCTGGGGGCTGAGCTTTGGAATCAGAAAACAGGCTTTACGCTCCAAGAAGGGTGGGATGGTGGTACAGAGATGGACTGATTTTCTCACCAGATTACAACCCAGCCCCAAATTCCAGGAAGAGGAAGCTAGGCTTGGGCTTTCTCATCTAGTGCCAAGGCCTTGGGAACCCCGACGCTTCTCTTTCTGTTTGGCCTGGTTTCTCTTCAGGCTACTATGCAGGGAATATTTGATGAGGAGGAAGGGAATGGAAGGGGAGATTCTTGTTCATTAAACAGATTCTACTCAGTATCATATGCTGGGACCTGGCTCTCATTGCAGTAGACAGAAGGGGAGTTGAGGGGGTCAAAGTGAGTGACTCAGCTCGCTCGCTAAGTCAAGCTCTGTCCTGGGCCACATGACTTCACCTGGACCCTTAGGTTGGCTACCTTTGCTGGCTCTCCCACCTCAGCTCTACCTCCCCTACTCAGTGCTCTAAGGAAGAAACTCAAAGCTGTCTGGCTCTGAGGATGTACTTCCCCAAACAACCCCCCACCCTAAGCCAGGCCTGGAAGAAGGAAACTGGCAGAGATCTAGAAGTCTGGCTTATTTAAGGGACTGGGCAGATTGGTGGGCAGAAGGACATGACAGCTTTCCGGAGAGTCTGGACCTAGACAGGAAGTCGAAGGGCGACTTCTAGGCCTCCCTCTCAGGCTCTGGGAAGGGCTCTCTGGATTCTAAGTTAGGAGAGTATCTAAAGTTTGGGTCCTGCTTCTTGACTAGTTGTGTAACCTTTAGCAGATACACTTCACCTTCAGGGCAGGTTTCCTACCCTGACAAGCGGGGATTAATAACCCCCTGCCTCATGAACACCCCCAAGAACTCAAGCAAAGGAAGGAGGACGGAAAGGGAGCTCGGTCCCTCTCCCTCCCCAAGGGTCCCAAAGTATTCCTCCTCGGCTCTAGATTTGCCTGGGGCCAAAAATGCCCGAATGGAAGGGAACGTGACCGTCCCCTTCCAGGGAAAATCCAGAGACCTCGGAGGAACTCCCCAGGCAGGGGTCCACGCCTGAGTAGCTGTCCAGATGCTCCCCCCAGCTCTAGCGCCGCCTGGCCCGAAGACAGGCGGGTCCGCGGGTCGCGGGCGGGCAGGGAGGGGCGGGGGCCGGCCGGGCACCTGGGTAACGGCCGGGGTCGCAGCCCCCGCCACGCTGCGGCCAGTCCCCCGCCCAACCGTCCGCTGCCCACCCCGCGCCGCTCACCATCTGCTCTGACACCGGAGCCGAGATGTGCTCCGAGAGCTTGGCCGCCCCCGTGAGTGCGAAGAAGCCGCCCAACAGGACGCGCAGAGCTACGAGCGGGAGCGCCATGGCCGCGCAGGCCTCCGCGACGCGCCCGCCCCAGGGTAGGCCCCGCCGAAAACCCGCCCCCTGCCGCCCGTCCGTTTCCTCCCTCTCGGGGCGGCCGGAAGACCTGCGCCAGAGCCGCCGCTCCTCGCCCTCAAGGGGGTTGCCGCCCTCTTTTGGGCCAGCACTGGGTGAGGGAGGCGACGGCGCTTGGGCAGGGCAGCCCCATCTCACAGATGGGGACACTGAGGCCCACTTGCTCTTAACTAAACGGGCCCCTCCGAATTCAGGGAAAGTCTCCCATCTAATATGGACAGAGTAGAATCAAACATGGGTATATGGACGTGACGTGCAGAAGAGAGAAGAGCTCTGTTATGGTCAAAAGACGTTGCGCGGCGGGGGGTACGGGGGGTAGGGAAGGAGGGAGTCCCTACTGCCCTTGCCACACTAGCTTGGCGATCTGAGCTGTCACCTGACCTCTGCGGGCCTCAGTGGCGTCTGCATCTGTAAATGGGGATAATGCCGTTATCAGTTCCGAACCTAGAGCAGGCCTAGCACAACTCCTGGCACATGTAAGAACTCAGAATTATTTGTAAATTAGTAAATTTATGAAATTATTAAGAATAAATCAGTAACTAGTAATCTTAAAATAAGTTGTTTTCTATCATTGCCTGAAATGTATTTTCCCTCTAATATCTCTCAGCTGAAATTAAAATGGGAAAGGTGTTTGAAAATTCAGATTCTTACAGCCATGGGTAGAGAGGCTTTCACTGAACAAAACCCTACAGGCCACTCCTGGCCCATCTGCTTTTACCTGGAAATCTATCTAGACCTGGATGAGAAAACTATGACAAATTCAGAAAGTGCTCTGGTTTTACTCCCTTCCCCTCCCTCAGCTAACAATGTTTGTTTGTTTACATTTTTAAGGCAGCTTTCATGACACATGAAAATTATATGAAATTCATGTTTCAGTGTTCATAAATAAGTTCATAAACTGTGGTTTATTGAACCACACTTTGCGTATTGTCTACCGCTTTTGTGCTGCAACAGCAGAATTGAGTAGTTCCCACCTTACAGCCTGCGAAGCCTCAAATATTCATTACCCAGCCTTTTACGAAAAAGGTTTGCCAAGCCCTGGCCTTTTATGAAAAAGGTTTGCCAAGCCCTGGTCTAGAGAGCCAGAGAGGCCCCTAACAGGGGTCTCAAACTCTCCTGCTGCTTCCACTTCCTGATAGCCGAGCTGCTTGGATCTTTGTTTTCTACCTACCCACAACCTGCTGGGTAGGTAGCCGGCAGGCTGAAGACTGAAATGTCCTATGTGCTTCTAAAGACCAAGCAGTTTCAACATCCAGGTGTGCTAGCTATTACATTATAAACTGGGCCTTTCATTACCTACATCTTTGTCACTAATCCAAATTATCTGATCAGTCAGTAAAATAGCTAAGTTCTCTACCTTGGACTATTATATATAATTATGTATAAATGCGTAATTATTAAATTCCTCAATGAAAAGAGAAAAATTATTAAAACACTTATTTAATCACCGAGAACACACATCCACATTAGGAATTTATATTTTAGGATACTTATCTCATACAAAATTTAACACAAACGTATAGACTTTGATAATAAGCAATATGCACATTACTATTCTTTCTCCTTTACTAATTTTTCTATCCTCGGAATTAAAGATGTGACTGCAAGTCGTAGGGCAGGGCCAGAAACCAAGAGATTTCTTTGTTTTGACTCAGTCAAAGCTGAAAACGTAGCATCACATAAATAAATAGTTGAAAAAGGCAATAAAAATTTCAGTGCCTTTTCATGGAGTTCTGGGTAACTTGCCTTTGCATTTATCCAAAACTGAGTTACAGACATTGATTTAAATACTGATTGTAATCCTAAATCTGACGATAACTGTGCTAGTTTTTCTTCTTCAAAGTCCGTGAGATTACTATTTTGGTGATTCATAAAAGGATTAATTATCCACAAATTTCCTGAACACAAGTCTTCTGGTGGGTAACAGTCATTGAGCATTTGAGAAAGTCCTTCCAGGTGCTCAAAAATAATGCTTGCAATACTGCTCATATTTAAGCCTGATGAGTTTGAGAATTCAGAAAATGAAGGGAACATGTCATAATCATTCTCTTGCATGCGCTTCAACCACATTTTTAACTTTTTCTTAAGTATATCGATTTTATTATACAAATTGAAGAGAGTAGTCATAGATCCTTGGAGACTTAAATTTAGTTCATTTATAAGTGAAAAAATATCTGATAAGTAGGCCAGCTTTGCAACCCATTCCTCATCAAAAAAATACTTGGCCAAATCTGAATGGTTTTGATTTAAAAATATTTCAATTTCATGTCGTAATTCAAATAATCTTGTTAAAATTCTCCCTCTTGATATCCAACGTACTTCAGCATGAAGTGGTAAATTCACGTGCTCAGACCCCATCTCTTCACACAAAATTGTTAACATTCGTGAATTCAACGCATTGCTCTTTATAAAACTTAAAATTTGTGCTGACTGCAAAAGAATTTCATGTAAGCACGGAGACAACTTTTCTGCTGCTAAATGTTCACGGTGAATAAAACAATGTGTAAATGCCACTGTATTCATGGCAACTTCTTGAATTTTTGCCCTTAAACCAGAACACCTACCAGTCATGCTTGCAGCCCCATCTGTACAGAGACCAACACAATGCTTCCAGTTCAGAGATTTACTACCAATATATTTATTTATTAGTTCAAATATTTCAAAACCAGTCATTTGAGAAGGCATTTCAATGCAACATAATAATTCTTCTTTTATATCACTACAACCATAATCAATGAAACGAATATAGCACAAAAGAAGGGTGGTATTTGAGATTTCTAATGACTCATCTATCTGAAGGGCAAACCACTTTGACTCTCTGACTTTCTGAATCAGCTGATCTTCAATGTCTGCAGATAGTTCATCAATCCTGTGTCCAATTGTACTATTAGAAAGAGGAATGGTTTTCATTTTGTCTCCAGCACTGGAACCCAAAACTTCTGAACACATTTCTACTAAATATGGTTTAATTACTTCTTCAGCAATGGAAAATGGCTTTTTGCTGGCAGCAATTTGGAAAGCAATTAAATAAGAAGCTTTCACAAGTGACTTTTCAACTAGTAAACACTTTTTTAAAGCACTGTTTTGACATTCCATTTCAAGAGATTTTTGTTCAAAAAAATCTACTGGTTTGTTTTCTAATTCTGAATGCTTTGTCTTCAAATGATGAGAAAGATTTGCTGGTTTCATGTTTTCACTGGATAAAATTTCTCCACAGATGACACACTGTGGCCTTGGTGAACTTTCTTTTGATCCCGGACAGATAATAAAACCAACTTTTAAATATTCCACATCATAAGTCTGGAAAAAACCTATTCTTTTTTTCTTTGCAGGTGGAGAATCAAGTTCCGCATCATTTTTCTCGTTAGGCATAGATAAATCTGAATGAAATATTTGAATCACTGTTATTTTCAAGAACAAATAAGCAATGTTCTTTATGTTTTTCCCCGTGTTTAAAATTTATATTTTGTTACTATTTATATTTGTCAAAAGCATACACTAATTAAGGTTTAAACACAAACCATAATACTTCCATGATGCCATTAAAAACTGAATTTCTTGGGACTTCCCTAGTGCTCCAGTGGGTAAGACTCCACACTCCCATTGCAGGGGGCCAGAGTTCGATCCCTGGTCAGGGAACTAGATCCTGCATGCATGCCGCAACTAAGAGTCCACATGAGGCAACTAAGAAGGCTGCAGGCAACAACTAAAAGTCCACATGCCGCAACTAAGAAGCCCGCATGCCACAACTATGAGCCTGCATGCCGCAACTAAAAGATCCCGCATACTGCAACGAAGACTAAGACCCGGTGCAGCCTAAATAAATAAATAAATATTTTAAAAAAACAAAAAAACAAAAAACTGAATTTCTCTTTGCCCAAAGCTTGGTCACTGACTGTAGTAAAACTGTAGGCAGTGGTATGTGTCCTAGCAGTGCCATGTGTTCAGTAGATTAGTGGAATTAGGGCTGATGTCCACAGAATACACCAAGTTAAGAGTAAACTATTTTAGGGACTTCCCTGGTGGCTCAGTGGTTAAGAATCCGCCTGCCAATGCAGGAGACATGGGTTTAAGCCCTGGTCCGGGAGGATCCCACATGCTGCGGAGCAACTAAGCCTGTGCGCCACAACTACTGAGCCTGCGCTCTAGAGCCCCCAAGCCACAACTACTAAGCCTGCGTGCCACAACTACCTAATCCCGCGCGCCTAGAGCCCGTGCTCCGCAACAAGAAGCCACTGCAATGAGAAGCCCACGCACCACAATGAAGAGTAGCCCGCACTCATTGCAACTAGAGAAAGCCTGTGTGCAGCAACAAAGACCCAACGCAGCCAAAAATTAATTAATTAACACCAAAAAAAAAGAATATACTATTTTACTTTTTAAAAGATGGGGAAAAAAACTGAGAGGAGAAAAAATTTGGCAAAAAGTTAACATTTGGTGAATCTAGATGAAAGGTATATTCATTACGTATATTCATCTAAGGGTGTTCACTGTGCTGTATTTTCAATCTTTCTGAATTTTGAATTTTTCAAAATTAAAGTTGAGGGGAAGGGGGTTAATTATTAGTTTTAATACCCAGTGTCAGTGAAGGTGTAGAGAAATGGATGCTCTCAAACATTGCTGATTGGAGCATAAATTCATATAACTTTTCAGGAGGGCAATTTTGCAATACATATCAAAATCTAAGCCTTAAAATTCTATGAGAGCTTTTGAATCAGTAATTCCACTACTTAGGATTTATCCTAAGGACATAATTAGACAAGTGGAGAAATATCCATTTATATAGCTTAACTCAATACTGTTTATAATATAAAAAACTAGATGCAATCTAATGTCAACCTTAGGAGGATGGATATACATTATATATATCCATACGTTATATACATTGGAATCTATGCATCCATTAAGAATCTCAACGTATATTTAAA